GTGCATATCGCTGCCCATATGCTCCTAGTTGCCTAAAGGGCCATATAAGTAGTCAGCTGCTCCATGATCTTTGAACAATTACAGTGCCAAACGCATTCCGCTTCATTATGTTCGCAAAAGCCACCTAGCGCTCATGAACCATGGCCTGCTTAAACGTTCGCTTGCAGACAACTAGGAGCGAGGGAGTGGTGCAGTAAACCGTGAAATCTGGTCGTTTAAGAGTTATGCATCATTTATAACGTAAGTTTTCGAATGTTGTCGATGAACCGATGCTTTCCTATGGCTTTTGCTCTGTGCTCGTAAAAAATGAAAATTTTCTCGCTGAAAAATATGGTAAATAGAGAATGACGACTGTACTATGAAACTAACGCCACGTTGTCTAGGAATGCGATTCATGAATCGACTGGTGGTTTTGAGTAAAGGTAAAAAGTTTTGTTAATTGTATGGTTACTAATTTCACACGAATCATGAATCATGTCCGAAATCACGTTAGTGTCCACATTCTCGATGTTCGAAGAGGTGATGCCATCACGATTGTCCGTGGATGCTTTCATGCAAAATGGTTTTAAAACCTTCATCAGTAACATCGAGAAAACCTGTGCCTCAAAGACTTGCGTTTGCTTTAAGTGTTATTCTGCACCTTTGATGCGAAAGCAGACTACTGCAGACGTTGATTCCATGATGGGTATTACTTTCGCAAAGGTTTTGCTTCTGTTGCATGTACCTCATCTTATGGGACTATTTTGGCATCTGAATGCGGGACATAAGCTTTCAGCTAATAGGTTCAGAAATCACGTAGGAGAGGAACAGTAGAAAATTGCCATGCGTTTTTCAATGGTTACTCATAAAGATAATCTTTTTGTATAATTTTACTAACAATCTATCATTTTGAATGTCGACACAAACTACCCATCCCGCTGTCTCACTGAGAAACTGGATTACAGATATTCGTTTATTGATCACAGGAGCTGGATGCATTGAGTATACACTCGGCGGCTTTTCGAAGTGCCGAAACTTACTGCCGATTACCGTCGAGCAAGGATTTTTCTCTGAATGCATTCGTTTGCAACCTACGAAATATCAGATGCAACATCAGTGGCCCTCAAAAACGTTTTCTCCTTGTTTTGTGGCATTCACCTTTGGTCATGGATGAGGTCAAGTAACTCGTGATTATGCTATGAAGTTTACATGACCGTGGTGCTCCATGATAATGTCTGATAACGTGTTTTCTTTCATTAGAAGCTACTGTTAAGTGGCAGCTTGATGTAGCTATCAAGACAAACATTTGTTTGGAAGTTTGCCTTTTAGCTGATAGACATCATGTAATTGGCTCAGACTTTCGTCAGCGTTTTCAGGTCATCCAATTCGCTGTTTCTCACGTCTTCTCGTTTATCGCGACAGCATGTCTTGGCATAGATAATTTCATTGTCAATGTTCAGCTGCAAGCAAAGCATGTGGGACAAGACAGTGGTAGAAATTCTGTCTTGCCGGGATGCTGATTTATTTCGTGGTATGGATAGATGCCCATATCGGTGTCTTCACCAAGTCTGATTCATAACCTTGCCATCGTTCTCACACGTTCTCGTACGTGCGCGTTTATTTACTCAGATTCTTTCCATAATCGGCGACCTCTAAGCGTGCAAGCTGTTAAGAAGCTCAACGAAACAAGGCGACCAAAGAGGGATGCACTTGGAAACGGAACGGTAAAATTGGTAGATCAAAAAATGGATCAGGGCACAAGCTAACAACACTGGATCTGCCCTGTCAATGAAAAGGCGAACAAACCGAAACGGAAAAGAGCTGAATGTTTTACAAATTGAGAAAGCCACCTCTGAACCAAAGTGACGCTAAACTAGGTTACGGGAGGCAGGAGCAGTAAACAGTGCGCAGAAGAACTGATGATTGATGACAAAGCAAGACAAGAAGTTTGCACGAGCAGGATGGATAAGAGTCACATGTGACAACGCCTTTTAGAAAAATCGTGGAGTTTCTTTCATTAGTATCGAAAAATTCTAAAGATATTTACGAGAGTTAAAAGGGAGTCATGCATCTTAAAAGCTTTAAATATTTTCCTCTTCTGGTTGTTTAGTATCACATGTTTATCATTAAGAAAGTCAAACAGTCAAACATTTCAACAGTAGTATTGATCATGAGAAAATTCCGTTGTGTAATTGGCTATGAATGATGACTGCGTGGTCATTGAGGTATATACTGAAAGAGCCTTATTTTTTTTTATACCTGTGACCTACGCTTCAGATATGATTTCCAATTTAGTCACTCAGGTTTTCTCAAATAATTAGTATTCCTCTTTAACGAAAATTTTATCTTCCTGCTTCGCAATGACGCGATTAAATGGTAAATTTGTAGAACGTCATTGACCTAGGAAAATAGAAACAATGCTATGACGTGGTTGTGTCAAAGTTCATGAAAATTGCGGTCATGTTGCGCGCTGCTTGTGGATTTAAGACTTGCTGAAAAAGACTGTAATCTGCCTGATGGCCAGCTCTGTCATCAGAATGATATGATACTGGTGAATCATTAAGGTTGATACAGCATCTCTAATGATTTAATGCTATCAGTAATGCATCGTTCCCCATGGTACAGCGTTGAATTCTCTGTCGAAAAATCGTAAGTTCAAGTTCCGATCAGTCAACAATTTCATTCTTTCTTCATACATAAATGATTATTGCTTTATAAGCAAAGAAACGAAAGGGTACACGTTGTGCATGCCACACAGCTCTAGGCATTGCTTTAAAAACGACGCAGTAGCGAGGATCAGTTCTGTGCCACAAGCTTCAGGGGAAAGGAACCATAGCTGGGGCTCTTCATGGAAATGTAAGGGAGAGCGACGTTGCAACAGTTACAAGTTTCCCTTCCCCTTCACATAATTTTTTCAGTGACTAGACAGCAAGATGTCATATTTCACGACGTCTTACCTTGTCATATCTTATGCGATTCCAATGACGCAAATTCGATGTTCCCTCCTGCTTCTTTGCCATTCTTGATGTCAATTATCCAAACTTCGTCCTGGTTTTTCTATACTGTGAACACAGTCTTGTAGTATCTCTTATTTGGAGCACAGTACATTCGCAATATATTAATTTTACTAAAACTACAGTCCTGAAATATATTTTATCAGGTTGCTTGCGGGTCTTTTTCATGGTCGGTTATAAATAGCTGTCTTTGTCGCATTTGTGACATATCCTTTTCCATTTCATTCATTTGCCGTTTACTTTTGTTACGATGCCGATATGCGAGAGATCGCAAGTTTATTTTCTCAAGACTTTATTTATAATTCTGGAGGCCACTATGCAATGAGGTCTTCGATTTTCTTCCCACTTTGTGATATTTGAAACTTTGAAACTGTCGACTGTAAGTATAGACAGTTAGACCAGTCAATCTTCGAATTGAGAGATTTTGACTCTTTGTTCGGCGCTGTTGCAATTGAGTTTTCCCAAGACCAAAACTTTATTCTTTAGTATGAGAACCAAAAAACACGGTCATTATAAAATCCTCATTGTTTTTAGACCCTTTATGAAAATTTATAACTTTTCGATGGTCTGTAAATTCCTTGCTTAGATGCGCCGTATGAGAATTATTTTGAGACCGATTTCTTATCGCATCTGGCGAGTATGATTCTTTCACGGTCATTTTCAAAACATTTTCTGTTTTAGAATCGCAGCACCATGATTTTGCTGCCCCTGATACTAATCACAGCAGTCGTGGCGTGTTCCTATGCGAAACCGATATACCTGGAAGACAGAACCGAAGATTTTGGTGACGCAACCGTGTTTTACGACAAGCAGAAACACTCGGTTCCCCTCAGCGGAGTTCTATACGGCAAGAGGAACAGCAGAAGCTTGCAGAGTGACAGCGACCTATTTATGCAGTATTCCAAGATGCGTCCCGGCATACGTGTGCCGTTCAGCGGCGGCGTTTACGGATAGACGTGACTGGTTTATGTCTACTTATTGTATGAAATATGAATGGCTATCTACGCAGTGGCTGTCACACTTATATAAAGCTGTTCTATCGCATAAATTTTACGTATTGTACTCGGTTTGTGCATTTATGCGCATTTTAAAGTAAAGTTTGGCTAATCGGAATGCACGAATTAATGTTGCATCGCTATTATGATAATTGCTTTCCTCTCAAGTTGAGAAATCACGCCCACCCTGTCCGCATATTACGGTAACATTGGAAAAAAGTAGCGGAGTATCAGTAAAGCCAAAGGTTCAGATCATGGTACAGTACTACCACTACTGTATCTGCAGATCGTTCAGAATATGGTCATGATTTGAAATGGTCATGAGCAAATGCGTGATTCAAAATATTTCCATGTGAAAGCTCAGCCACCCAATTCACTCTCTCACAGATCAATGCCAAAAATGGAAAAGCATTATTTGAACTGATTTGCAATTAATTTCCTATCTGATGACAGTGAAGTTACTTTCACAAAATTATAAAACTCTGCTTATAACTCCACGGATTTCATATGTTCCAGTTCTGTACTGTACTTTCAATAGATAGCAGATCACATAACCCATCCTGACAATCCTCGTACAATTTCTGCTTTCCTCGATTTCACTACTGTGTCACATTTGCACTGTAGCCAAAACTATGGATCGCCAAACTCGTCATATTTGTATGGCATTTTCCATTCTTAAAAAGAATAAAAACGAACATTTTCTGAAACATCTAATTTAGCGCTTTCCATTTGATATGATCTTCACCGTAGTAACAAGGATGAATTAAAAAATTCAGACTTTGCATGTTCCGCTAATGCAAAGAGGCAAGCGTTACGTATCCAAAGTCAACGATAAGCCGACGGAAGTCGCCTGCTTTCTTTCCTATCCTTCGATCCTTTGATATGGAATATAAAAAGAGAGTGAATACCTTAGTCAACCAGTGCCTGCATATAAACTGGTGTCATAAAGCATTCAGAGTGAACTAGGTATATTGCATGGTTTTGAAGAACAATAGTCACCAGTATCGCCTTGTAGAAGAAGAATCAATTTCTCATCAAAGGACAAAATTTGGATTTCGTGAAGAATCAGCGGACGGTAATAAAATCATAACTTGTACCGGTCGGTAATCAGCGACTAATCAGTCAGGCCCGTCATTCCTCGCGGTTTCGAACCTCCTCTCCAAATGCTGCGTTCCCGGCTCCGGATTTATTCTTCCGACCATCACGGTTGGCGACCAGGTGGCCTAGTCTGCCTGCGAAGGTATCATTTGGCGATCATCACTGACCATCTCTCCATCGGTGAACCAAACGACATGCCCGGTCCACCACAGCTTCTCCTTTCTGCCTTCGACCACGACCTCCTTCACTTTCGTCCCTTCACGTGAAATTAATGACATTCTTCATTCCATGACTCTTACGGTGACGGATAGCTCATGCTATTTGCCCTTAGCAAGTGACCACGTCCAACACAATACAACATCACCAGCAGGGTGACAGAATTCAAGAAGTTTCTTTCCTGCTGTTGTTATGGAGGAACGCTCGGCCCTTTGTTTACGTTGAATCTTACCATTGCGATCATGCCTGTTGATCTCTTAGCCCAGATAGACATTTTTATCAACTTCTATGATCCTCTCAGCGTATTACCATGGCCTTTGACACGGCATCCGATCAGAGTAATAACCGATTAATTGACAGGCCAACTTCTGAACTTTTCCTGTGAAGCACTTACAATATGTCTTGTAACTGACTGACATCAATTATCAGCGAACCTTCGATGGCTGAACTGTCTATCATTCATGTTAATACCACCCATCCAGCTTGTCCTCTGCAACACCATTTCCAAGCAGGCAGTGAAGAGTTTGAGAGCGACGGTGTTGCCTTGTTCCACATCCTTGTCTAAGGGTGCACGGGGATTTTTGGACAGTGTGATAATTGCGAAGAAGCGAAAGTTCGCTTCCTTTAGCAGGCTGTCAAAGTCCTGATCTATCAGTGTTGTTCATGCTGTGCGCTGTTTCGAACTTTCTTCGCCGTCAAGGGGCTAAGATTCTCTCGCGCTTGAGGTGTAGACTTAAAGCAAGGACATTATCCGTTGTCACCTAATTTGTGTTCGGTATCAGAACCTCAGAACCCTGCTTGAGACTCTAGACTTGTTGACTGTCTATTGCTTACAATAATTGTGAGCATTTTGTAGCTTTGTGAGAAGATGCAGATTGGGCGACAGTTTGTGCGGCAGTTTTTCAAATCCTTCTTTTCACCCTGTTTGAACAGAAAAATTGCTTTTGACTCCTTCTAGCTCAGTGGTATTTTTTTCGTTTCCGGGTAGCCGCGGAACCCCTCCGCCAGAGTCCTCCAAAGCGTCTGACCACATACTCTGATCATTTCAATTACCATACCGTCTGTGCTTGGGGCTCTTCTTTTTTTTATTTTCTGCGCGTCATGCCGAAATTCGCCAATGAAGAACTTGAGTGTACTTCCCTTTGGCTGTGTTGGAATGATGATGGGGGAATGTGCATCTTCGGCGCAAAAGTGCTGGTTGCAAAATTTTTTACCTCTGTTAGACATTAATGCGTCATCCGCGTTAATGCGCCATTCTTGAACTCCGTTATGGCTAATTGATAACGAGCTGCCTCTTTCCTTCATCATCTGAGGCTCTGCAGGCGTCGGTTGTCTTCTCTAACTTTTACTATCGGGAGGTCTCATAGTCCTTTTCCGGGTTTTGTACATTCAGTTTGCAGGCAAGGGTTTACTCAATCGTGCAAGTACTCTTTATCTTCATCATCC